TCCCTATGGGGCTACGAAACGCTGCCCTGGGTGGGGGAACCGCATGCGAACACCCCCACTGGGGCCTTCGGTGGAGCTCCCTATGGGGCCACGAAACGCTGCCCTGGGTGGGGGAACCGCATGCGAACACCCCCACTGGGGCCTTCGGTGGAGCTCCCTATGGGGCCACGAAACGCTGCCCTGGGTGGGGGAACCGCATGCGAACACCCCCACTGGGGCCTTCGGTGGAGCTCCCTATGGGGCTACGAAACGCGTGAGAGGTGTGCCGAGAGCAGAGGCAAGGAGGGGGAGGAGGGAGGAGGGGGAAGAGGAGGAGAGGAGAGGACGCGGGCACCGTCTCTTCAAAACGAGGACCCAACACCACAGGATGGTTGGGAAAAAACCTAGCCGAACAGAACCTCGAAACTGTCCGCCTTTCCGCTTGAACAGAACCAGTACTGGGCCACTTCAGACCCCCAGACGGCTCCCAAGCTCGGTATAATGGCAGAAACTCCTTTTGAATCATGCTGCGCATGCGAGCACCAACAAGTTGCTCGTGAGCGAAACGGTGGCCTGCGAGCTTCGGCGCGTGCCTCGCTGCTAATCCTTATCCTCCCGTCCCCAGCGATCACTGGCTCCCCCTGTCAAATTCCCCAAGCTACTCCTGATTCGCACTAACATTTCCCCACTTGCCCGCCTATCCCAGAAGTCTTAGGCTCACTGGGCAATTCCCAGACAGGCGAGCGCGAAACGTTACGTACCACGCAAAGCCACTCCCCCACTGGCGGCGCGCACGGGGGAAGGCTTCTTAGAATGACTACCTACCAGACCACCCCAACTCAACCCGAAGACCCTGAATGTCGGGTTGGGGGAGTACGGTTTCCCTTTTGTTTTCTCCCAACCATCCTGTGGTGTTGGATCTTCGTTTTGAAGACCACGGCGCCCCGCGTTCTCCTCCCGCCTCCTTCCTCCCCCTCCTCCCTCCTCCCTGCGATTCACCCACCCAGTACAGCGCTTCGTGGCCCCATAGGGAACTCCACCGAAGGCCCCAATGCCATCGCCCGCATGCGTCACGCACACCGCTTACACGTTTGGTGGGCCAATACAAACCCCCCCGATTAAAAAGTCCAGACCGCAGAGGTCGCGGAATTTCAGCGAGGAACGTGTGCCGTTAGGCGGCGGGGCCCCGGTACAATGTTGCAGACGTCGCCATGGCGGATTTCCGATCCATGCCTCATCCCCTCAAATATTATAATCGCCAAATGAGGCATTCCGCCCAATATTAGCTTCAGAAAAAAATCCGACCACATTCCGGATGACCTGAAAATTTCAGAGGCGATCGGAAATCTGCGATTTCGCTCAAGACTTCCTCACAAAAAAAAACCGGCCAGAGTTATGTTGCTTGGAAGTATCGTCGTTGTCTGGAATATTATGCAACGCGTGTTTACTTGTCTGGGAGCGCGCGATTCTAAACAGAACTTTCTGTTTCTGGTGATCGCTGCTCTGCGGTGTCGTGCCGTTGTTTGGCGCGCGGCCTTGTCTTGGGCTCGTCTCGGAGGCCGCGTCTGACATCGGGGGCCCAGGACCCATCGAGGGTCGATGCTCCAAATTCAATTGGAGAGCGACGATGCAAACGGCCTTTCAGGGCCGATCCGGACTTTTTCTAATCCAGGAGGCTGTAGGGAGCTCCACCGAAGGCCCCAGTGCCACCGCCCGCATGCGTCACGCACACCAAAGTCGGCTCTCCTCACACGTTTCGTGGCCCCATAGGGAGCTCCACTAAAGGCCCCAAAGCCACCGCCCGCATGCGTCACGCACGCCCATTCAGGCACACCCCTCACACGTTTCGTGGCCACAGGGAGCTCCACCGAAGGCCCAAGTGCCACCGCCCGCATGCGTCACGTACACCAAAAATTCGGCGCAAAGGGCGCATCCCTCACACGTTTCATGGCCCCACAGGGAGCTCCACCGAAGGCCCCAGCGCAACCGCCCGCATGCATCACGCACACACATTCCAGCGCACCCCTCACACGTTTCGTGGCCCCATAGGTAGCTCCACTGAAGGCCCCAGCGCCACCGCCCGCATGCGTCACGCACACCCATTCCGGCGCACCCCTCACACGTTTCGTGGCCCCATGAGGAGCTCCACCGAAGGCCCAAGTGCCACCGCCCACATGCGTCACGCACACCCAATTCGGCACACCCCTCGCACGTTTCGCGGCTCAACTGGGAGCTCCACCAAAGGCTCCAGTGCCACCGCCCGCATGCGTCCTGCACACCCAATTCGGCACACCCCTGACACGTTTCGTGGCCCCATAAAGAGCTCCACCGAAAGCCTCAATGCCAACGCCCGCATGCGTCACGCACGCCCATTCCTGCACACCCCTCACACGTTCCGTGGCCCCACAGGGAGCTTCACCGAAGGCGCCAGTGGCTGCGTTCGCATGCGCTCACCGCACCCATTTCGGCACACCATTCACACGCTTCGCGGCACCATAACGAACTCCACTCTGGCGCTGGGGACGGGGGGGGAGGGGTGCGACGCGGAAAAAAAGCTCTCGTGGCGGAGGGGGCAGTGGGCAGGGCTCCCGCTGGGGCGCTGGGGACGCGGGGGGGCTCGGGCAGAGAGCCACGGCGCGGGGGTCCCACTCTGGCGCTGGGGACGCGGGGGGGGGGGTGCGACTCGGAATAAGGTGGTCGGAGCTCTAGACACCCTGCGCAAGAGAATAAAGTGGTCGGAGCTCTAGACACCTTGTGCAAGAGAATATACACAAGTAGCATGATTCCCAATAGTTGTCCATATTTTCGTGGTTTTTGTCTTCCCCCCACTTCCCATATGTTCCCATGTATTCTTGGGAATCGACGATTAATTGTGTCTGTGTGTTTTTCCCCCCCTGAAAAAACCTCCCGACGTGGGTTTGTCTCGACGCGAGGAGGGCCTAGAGATCCGAGACTCGGGGACCCCCGAAGTCCCGACCCTTCGAATGCTCCAGGGGCAGACCTTCATCACGAGTCGATGCTTGACGGTCCCGGAGCCTGGCGGGGGCCCTGGAAGGACGAAGACAGCGACAACAGATGTCCGCCTCTTTGCCTTGTGCAAATTGGGGCGCGAGAGAGTGCTCTTCTGTTGTCTGGGAGGTTTGGTCTTCTAGGGCCGCCCGCCCCCCCCCCCCTCCGGCGCGCACGTGCCTTGGAATTCGCCCTCCCGCTTTCGGCCTCAAGACGGCCAAGATGGCCTCCAAGGCGGCTTCCCAGAGAGCCAAGATGACACCAAGACGGCCCCAGATGACCCTGATGGATTAGGAGGCTCACAAGACGGCCCAAGAGTCCCTCAAGAGTCCGAGGAGCCCAAAACGAACGATGTCATTAGGGTCGAGCATGTTGGGGTTCCCGACCAACCAAGACGGCCCAAGAGGCCTCCAAGAGAGGCGGGCAAGTTAGTTCCAAGACAGCCCAAGGAGGCCCCCAAGAGGGCCCAAAATCGGCCCACGAGGACTGCAAGATCGCCCCAGGGGCTCCCAAAAGGACCTCAAGACGGACCTGAAGCGCTCCAAGAGGGCACCAAGACGACCCGGAGAGACCCTCAAGACGGCCTCCGAAGGCGTCAGACGGGCCAAGAGTCCGCTCGGACGGCCCAAGAAGCCCCAAGAAGCATCCAAGAGGCCAAGGGGGGCCCCTAAGAGGCCCCTAAGAGGCCCCCAAGAGGCCCCTAAGAGGCCCTAAGAAGGCTCCCAGGATGCCCACAGAGGGCCCCAAGAAGGCTTCTCCTCCATGTCCTCATGTCCTACATCTCCTCCTCTAACCAGCCTCGAACTCATCCCGATTCCTAACGATCGGCAAGCCCAAGGCGATGACAGTCTTAGGAATGTGCCCTTAGAAACTGAGGAAATCCTTGAGATCGTCACCGAGGTGACTTGAAACCAAACTTAGGGATAGGAATCTGTTTCAAGCTGGAAATCCCCCTCCTCCTCCTCCTCCTCCTCCTCCTCCTCCTCCTCCTCCTCCTCCTCCTCCTCCTCCTCCTCCCTCTTCTCGCGCGAACGAAAACATGGTCGAGATCACTACCCACCATCGGCGAACTGCCGCGGGGCGTGAGCTCGACCTCCTCCCTACCGCGCGGACGAGGACGAGGTCGAGTTCACCACACGTCCCCATTCACACAACCCGTGAGGACCGCGATGTTCCCAAAGTCGGAGTTGACTGGAGAGGACACGCGACAGGGCTCAAGACCCTGCCGAGGACCACAGTACCATAGGGATGTGAGAAGGCACGGGCCACGACCCACGACACACGAGGGTGCCATTGACCTGGCAGGGCCGCCCTACCAATCAGCCTCGTCTCTGCACTCAGTCCTCCTTCCTCCTGCGCTGTTGCACAGGCGCGGTGGCGGGGTTTGCCGCAGGCAGCTGCATATGTCACATTCTCTGAGCAGGGACCGACCGACCCGATATTCCTATAGGGCTACCACGACATGCTCTTAGATCCCAGAAATGCTCCGAATGCATACAAACAGACCCGATGTATGACATCAAGACCGCCTCGGCCAGACATGTTCTAAGAGCATTTCGTGCAGACCCCAAGAAGGCTCTTATAACATGATTTGGCGGGCCTATAGTAACAAGCCTCGAACGTATCCCTCTCCCTAAGATGGGCGAGCAAAAAGCGAGGACAATCTTAGGGATAGGCCCTCAGAAACCGAGGGAATCCTTAAGATCGGCATTGAGGTGAGGTGATGTCAAACATAGGGAAAGGGATATGCTTCAAATTAGTAATATAGGCAAGCCTGGACGCTTCGCAATTGCTTCAATCCTTGCATCGCGCCCGAGATGCCTGGCTTCTGGGCCTCGGACCTCCCACAGCCTCCTGGGACGCTCCGGGCACCCCGGAGCTCTCTGGACGAGGCGCGGCTGCTGGAGGGCACGCCGGCTCCCGGGGGCCGACGAAACCCCTGGAGGTCTGGGGAACAACATTTCCGAACACCTCCCGTCGCGATTCCGCCGCGACGCGAGGGAAGCCCAGGCCCGTCCTGGTTGGGCGTCGGATCCGCAGCCGACTTCTGCCCCTTCTGGCAGATGACCGCCGCGTGCGTCGAGCCCTTGAGCCACGAGGGCCCGTTCCAGGAATACAGGTCGTCCAGGCCGTCGCTGGCACGGCTGGCGCTCGTCGCCATGACGGCAGAAGAACGAAAAACTGCAAAACTCCCCAGGCCTCCTACGACCTACGACAGGTTATCGTCATGTCGACACCAGCGTTAATTTCGAACACCGCGGCCATCGTTTAACCCTGAACGATCTATCGGCCGCTTCCGAAGCGTCGGATCGTTCAACATCGGCTGATTTGGGGCCGCTGGCGGCGCTCAACGTTGAAGCTCCGGCGACGGGTCGAAGGATCGCGCCGCATCGCCCATGCATCGCCGATGTATCGGCGATGCATCGGCAACGTCAGCGACACATCCGCGACGTCGGCGTGGGGAAAATCGGGCTCTACACCGAGCCGCATCGTCGTTGCATCGGCGATGCGGCGCGATCCTCCGACCCCATCCAGGAGGCCTGGAGTATTTCAGTTCGAGCGTGCTTCTCTGGCTTCAGGCCTCATGGGGCCGTCCTCGGGTCATCGGGCCCAGGGACCATCAAATGTATCCATCTCGGGGGAATACAGTCATCGGCCTGACCTAAGGAAGGATGATTAAGGAACGCAGCCACTTCTTTTCACGGCCTGATTAAGGAACGATTAAAAAACGATGAGTAAGGAATGATGATTAAGGAACGATGACTAAGGAGTAACGCATAAGGATCGATAAATAATACATAACGCACAAGCAGCGATAAGTAACCCATGCAACCCTAAGGAATGACCGAGCCCCTTTTGAAAAGTAAGTGTTCCTTCTTCAAGCCGCTCACTGTACCCCCACAGAAGAGACCGAAACGTCTGAAACGATGGAGTGGAAATCCGCGCAGATGTGCAGGGGATGTCCGAAACCGGGCTTGGTTTCCATCAGCTGCTCCTCGTCAAGGGCGCTACGGGCAAGGCCAGGAGTCGTCCCGAGCGGTCGCCGATGGTCCGATGAGTGGACCGAAAGTCCGAGGCTCGGATGTCCACCGCATAGGGAACCGATACCCCATGACCCAAGGAGGCGGTGGGTATGGATGTATTTCCCCAATCAGTGCTTGCACTGAAGGGGTCCTAGCGGAAATTGGAAGGTTTAGCGGAAGTGTCCCGCCGTTTTTGGTGGCTGGCTGGGTTCCCGGGTTCCCAGTTCCGGGTTCTGGGTTCCTGGTTATTGGTTCAAGGCCGATTTCGGTGGGTTCCCGGTTCCCGGTTTTCCGGGTTCCCGGTCGATGTCCTTATCGATCTCTTCATCGATCCCATTTCGAACCATCCTCTGATTGGATTTTTCTCTGGTGTAATTGGAACCCCTGGGGGCTCAGAGATATCCGTATCCGCCGCCTCCTGGGTTCCAAGAGCATTGGCTCCCGCGGCAGTGAAGATGCGGAAGGGGCAATGCCGATCCTAGAAACACCAGGGGACCTCCGACAAAGACGTTTCTGCCTGTTTTCGCTCTTCTGGATGAGCGATTTGTCGACCGTGAACTTCTCGCCAGGTCTGAGGCCTCCGTACAACTGGAGGTCCTTGCTGGACAAGGCGAACTTGTCGCATGGCGTCACTAGCGCGGGGTTGTTGAAATCCTGAGCCACCTTGTCCGCTAGGCTGGCTGGCACGGATGCGGTGCCACCCACCTCTGTCACCTTGTCTGTCAGGAGCAGGGGGTCGAGGAGAGTGAGGAGAAGGATGAGCAGGAGGAGCAGGGGGAGGTGCTTTGTGTCGGCGTGAGCCTTGCTCGTCACGCCTCTCTCCAAAATCTGGCCCATCTCTTTCTGGGTGCGGCTTCGCCTTCTTCTCTCCGTCTTCCCGCCAGAGGGAGCGTGGACCACAGGCGAGTTGTCGCCCGAGGCGAAGCTCCTCCCTCTCTCGTACTCCTCGTCCGCCGAAGCGGCGATGGCCTCCTGGTACTTCTTGTATTCGTCTATGTTTCTTACGAGGAAGTCGCGCAGCGGCCCCAGCACCTGAGGGGAAACGAAGAGGGAGACTGGCACTGGGGGGGAAGCATCGACCTGGAATCGGCGATACATCGCGCCGATAGATCGGCGACTGGCCGCCGATGGCAAGGAAGCACTTTCCTGGGCGGCCTGGGGCTATCTATAGGGCACCCTGTCGGCGATCAATGGGCGATAGAGGGTCGATGCATCCCCCCTCTTCGGGGGCGCGCAAACATGGATTAGCGATCCATGGATTTGGCGCGCGGTCGCCAAATCCATGGATCGGGGGAGGTGCCCTCGCAAAATGCGGCCGCTGCCGCCTCGCTCGGCGGCGGAAATCAGCGGTTTCCTATGGAAACATGGCCCGTCGCAAATCCATGCCCCCTTGATCCATGTTTGCGATCGCCTGACTATCGCTGCCCTCGAGAACCCGTGCAAAGGTGTCCCGGGCGATGTACATGCAGGTCGCGGGACCCAAGGCGTACACGCTCGCTCTGCGGGGCTCCCCCGTGAGGAGGGCGATCTCGCCGAAGAAGTCCCCCTCGCCGTAGCGCTTCACCTCCACCTCTCGAGCAGCAGATCGACTACATGATTGATGTACCAAGACACTCACTTGTTCGAGTCTACAATCAAAAACTACTCGCACTCTCGCCTTACATCTTCTGCGTCGGTTCGACCAACAAAACCTTGGGTACATCAATTCCGCAGTCGGTTTCCTGCTCCGACCTCGCCCTGGTCTCCCCGGATGCAGGCCACGGCCGTCCCCTCCCGCATAATGTACATCTTGTCGTCCTTCTCGCCCTGCTCGAGTATGGCCTCGTCCTCCTCGAAGTCCTCCTCCTCGAGGACTTCTGCCAGGGAAGCGATCTGTGTCTGGTCGAGCTCGCTAAATATGTTGCACCTCTTGAGGAAGGCAACGTACCGCATGAACTGTTCCTCGCCAGCAGACGCCAATCAAACACCCACACCAATCCAAGACTTTCCTGGGCCCAAACGATGGCCTGGCGATGATCGGTGTGGCTGGTTGCCCATCGGTGATCCTGAAAACGTGTGCTGACGCTCATGTGCACATGGAATAACAGCAACAGTGGGCAGCTCTGGCGCATAAAGTGCCATAATCAGTGGGCGGCTTTAGCTCCAGTTTTTCTGTCGGAACGGACGAAGTCTCGCCCACTCGGTCGAAGCTCTTTTCTCCAAAAGGTTCGGCCAATTCGGCAAACCGAATCATATCCACCGTTTACCTGTTGTGCCCTTCTTGATCGTTCCCCGGGTCTGGAAATTAAGGCGCCTTTTTTGTAACTGGGGGGGTCCGGCTTATCAGGGCGCTTCCTTTGGATTGGAGCTCAGGGGCGTCCGGTTCTTCAAGGCGCCCCGTCGAAGAGGAGGGTCCGAAGTATTAGGTCTGGAGGGGGGTCCGTACTTTTAGGGGGGGTCGATTGATAAGGGATTTGGAGTATCAAGGTGGACCTAGACTGGGCTATCCCTCGATCCACGGATCGTCCATGCACGGCAGGGACTTATGCATATCCACCGCCTGGGTAGCCGATCCCCCAAGACCACAGGAGGTGGGGAGGCGACAGCGCAGAGGGACGGACAGCCCCCCACCGGGAAATCCATTTCGCTTCGGTGTTCTTGTCGCGCGCGCGTGCGAGGCGAAGCTGTATGGGCGCGCGACAAGGACCCCGCCGTCGCTAGGGCGATGCGGATGCAGTGGACCGCCCCTCAACCCCCTGGTGAGCGCGGAGGACCGGGATGTCAAGCCGTGGTGTCCTGTGGTGTCCCGCTGGTGTGCCGCTGGTGTCCCGTCGTGTTCCGCCAGCGGTGGGCGGGCGGTGGCCTGGGGTGTCCCGCCTTGGTATCGATAGTGAAGTCGATAGTGAGATCGACAATAGGATCGCTAGAATAGGATGGACAGTGCGATCCAAAAAGACGTCGACTGTGAGGTAGAATGTGACATTGGTTGTGAGATCGGTAGTGCGATCGATAGCGAGATCGATGGAGGAATTGATAGTGAGTTTAAATGTGGGATCGACGGTAAGATTGAAAGCGAGATGTATAAGAAATCTATAGTGAGATAGTGAGATCTGCAGTGAGATCGATCGAGTGTAATCGATCCTGTGAGGTCGATAGTGGGATCGATCGAGTGAGACCGACAGCGGGGACGATAGTGACATTACATCGCAGCGCCACATCGTCATCATGCGTCGACGCTAAACCAAAGGCGCAGCATCGTCATCATCACACCCATCGCGACTTGCCAGCAGCTGGTTCTGTCCCCCCCACCCCCCAACCTCTCTAGAAAGAAAAACCATACAAAAAGCACGCCATAAACGGAAACTGTTGGCACTCCGCGCGGATTTCGTGCATCTGCGTCGGACCCCCCTCCCGAACGCGCGGAGCGCGCCAGGGACGGCGCCAGAGGCGCCTCCCAGGGGGGCCCAGGCGCGAATCCGAGAAAGCCGCGGGGAGTGCCAAAAGTGTATGTTCATGGCGTTGTTTGGTCGAGTCCACAGCAAACGGAGGTCGCTGTGAGGCAGGCGGCGTTCGCCCGAAACGGGCAAGGCCCGCGGTGACACCGAGAATGAGCCCAGTTCGAAGCGGACAGGAACTGCTGTCGGCCTGGTGATGCCTTTGCCATCGCGCGCAAGAGAAAGTGCGCGCACGCGTTCTCCGGGAGCCCTCCCCCTCCTCCCCCTCCCCCTGCTACTCCTAGAGAAAAGAAAAGCGAAAAGCGGCATAAGAATCAACTGCTGACGGTCCGCGCAGATTTCTTGGATCGGCGCTTCCCCTCCCTCCCTGCCTGGCCCGCAAAGTGCGCAAGGGGCGGCGCGGGAGGCGCCGCCAGGGGGTCCCAGCGCAGATCCATGAAATCCGCGCGAAACTGAGAAAGTTTATGTCTATGCCGTTTTCTCTACTTCGAATCCTGCTATTCCACCTCCTCCACCTCCTCCTCCACCACCTCCTCTTCCTCCAAGTGAACTTCGGACGAATCTCTCTGGACACCCACACTCGCGAACAGTGGCCGTGGCGACGCACGCGGTCAATAGAAATAGAACACCGCGGCGATGATGGCGGCATCTTCCTCCACCTTCCTCCCTCCGGCTCCCCTCCTAATGCTTCACCTCCTCCTCCTGCTCCTCCTCCTCCTCCTCTTTCTCCTTCTCCTCCTCCTCCTTCTCCTCCTCCACCTCCTACTCTCCTGCCCCCTTCACCTTCCCTTTCCTCCTCCTCCTCCTCCTCCTCCTCCTCCTCCTCCTCCTCCGCCTCCTCCTCGTCCCTCCCGTCCATTCCGAATCCTTAGAAATACCTCCTCCCTGTCGCACCCCGAGGCCAGCCCGAAGGGCGGGCCAGGCGTTTCGCCTGAGACAGAGTGGCAACAGCTTCGCAGATGGAGGGAGGGCGGTGTTCAACATGTGGTGCTCACCTCAGCGCCGCGCACAGTCGTTCTGAACAGTTAGCCAGAGCTCCACGGATTCTTACCAGCCTGGAACATATCCCTATCCCTATGCTGGGCATCGCCCCATCACGATGCCAATCTTAGGGATTCCCTCAGTGTTTGAGGGCGCACCCCTCAGATTGCCATCGCCTTCCGGCGTGTCAATCTTGGGGATGGGGATAAGTTCGAGGCTGGTGAGACTCAGGGCGTGCCCTGTTCAGCATGTAACCCTCTCGTTGGCGCCGCGCACGCTCGCCTGGCACAGTGTGCCAGTGAGCTTCACGGATGGAGGGGCGGGCCGTTCTCGGACTGTGGCCCTCGCATGTTTCGCGCCGAGCACGGGTCGGCTGAAAAACTGCAACACGACTTCGCGGATCGAGGGCGGCCCCTTTTCATGGGTCTCTCGCCTGAGCGCCGCGCACACTCGTGTGACACAGATGCAGGAGGTTCACGGACGCCCATGCTAACGTACCAAACCCTGTTTTTTGGAGCGACTCGGGGCTGCCAGGGCGCAGCAGTTACGTTGATTCGTTGCGTTCAGGTCCCAGGACAAGCCTTCTGACACGATTCAGGATCGTCAAGACGCCAACAATCCGGTTGATTCGTAGCGTTCGTTGGATTCCCGAGAACGGTATTTTGGTACGCTTAAGGATCTTCAAACGGTTGTCTCCCAACGGGGCACTTCCCTCAATGACAATGAACCCTTGCTTGGAGCCTGTGAACTGGAAGGCGTCGAGGGAGGGTTTATCCCAGCATCGTCGATGAACCATGGGGTTGCACTGGCCCTCCTCTTCCTTCTCCTCCTCCTCCTCCTCCTCCTCCTCCTCCTCTTCCTTCTCCTCCTCCTCCTCCTCCTCCTCCTCCTCCTCCTCCTTCTCCTCCTCCTCCTCCTCCTGGGTGCCTGGCACTTGGAACAGTGGGCCAAGGCCAGGGAGGAACGGCAGGGCGATCCTCCTCCTCACTCCGCTGCGCCTCCGCCCTTGCCCTCGTCCGTCTGTCATCTCTGGGCCACTCTTCTGTTGCGGAGGCGCGCCGCCCAGGCGCTGGGACCAGGGGCGCTGCCCCACAGGTCAGGAGGGTCGTTAGGGCTGCTTTTTGTTGCCCCAAAAGACCCCCATTCGGGGGCCACCGCCCCGAACGGGGCCTACGAGGGCCCTTCTTTTGTTGCGGAGGTGCGCCTCGGAGGCGCCTGGAGCAGGGGCGCTGCCCCACAAGCCAGGGGGGTCGTTACGGTTGTGCCTTGGCCCTAAGCGACCCCCCCCCCTTTCGGGGGTCCTCGCACCGGGCCCACGAGGGCCCCTCTCATGGTGCGGAGGTGCGCCGCGGAGGCGCCTGGACCAGGGGCGTTGCCCCACAGGCCAGGGGGGGTCGCTAGGGCTGTTCCTTCGCGGCCCCAAGAAACTCCCCATTCGGGCCCCCCCGCTCCAGGCCCCAGAAAGCATCAATTACGTCGAGGACGTGCCCCGCTGAGGCACCTCGACAAGGGGCGCTGCCCCGCACGTCACGGGGGTCGTCAGGGCTGTTCCCCTCTGGGCCCTGAGGGACACCGCGTTCGGGGAGCACCGCTCCGAAAGGGGCCTACGAGAGCCACCATATGTTGCGGAGGCGCGCCGCCAGGGCGCCTGGACCGGGGGCGCTGCCCCACAGGTTAGAGAAATCATTCGGGTTGTTCCCCCTTGGCCCTAGGAGGGCTGCATTCGTTTACGCCTGCTGTCCCACCTTTCTCACACCCCGCCCGCAGCATGCCCGCCTCCTCCCTGGACCCCCTCCCCACACCTCCCCTCGCTCCAGCACGAGAGCGACGCTGCGACGCCGCCTTCTCCTGGTCTCGTGGCCGACAAGGGGAGGGCATTTGACAGCCCCGAGTAATCCGCCCGCTCGGACGTGAAAGCGGCGGCGCGCTGCGCCCCCCCTCCCTCATGGCCCCGGGGCTGGTCGGCGGAGTGAATTCGGACTAACTCCCTCTCCCTTCGCGGCGCTCCATCTCGCACAGCCCCCGCGCACGCCTCTCGCCGCTTGCATTCCCTTTGGTGTCCCCCCGTCGCCACTCATTGGTTCCCCCATGCGCTGACCCGCGGGGACGCAGAGCCAGCCCTGACAGGGTGAAAATGGGGGTCGGGCGCAGGGTCCCGGCAATGATGTCTTTATGGGCCATGAATGGGCGATGCATCCTCGATTGCTGTGTTCGGCGGGGGAACTCATTGAAGCCCCCCGCGTGCACCCATGCGCGAGACTTGATGGGGAAAGGAAGCAAGGGGGCGAGGGGCGAGGGGAAGGGGACGAAGGCAACGTGCGCTGAGGGCGCAAAAAGGAAAGGCTGTAACAAACGAAAGCGGCCAGGTGAGTG